TTCGAAAGCCCATCAAAAACTGAGTTTATTGACACGATTTAATAGTCAGTATGACCACCATTGGGCTTTCGAATGGTGTATGAATTATTTGTGTTGTTATTACAAGTGTTGCTGTGACCCCCTAGGAAAAGGTTATGCCCCGCCCTGTAGATATTTAGCTGGCTCTATCATTAGGCAGAGGGAAGCAACTGCCTCATATTAGCAATTGTTGAGGGCCAGCACCCCAAGTGTCTTTTGGGGTGTCTCAATTTGAGGACAGAGCATACCGTCATACCTGTAAAAGTAATTCATTCAATAATTCTCATACCTATAGAACTATAGGTAGTCCTCAACTTACAACTGTTCATTTAATGACCATTCAAAGTTACAAGCCTACTGAAAAAAGTGACTTAAGACCGTTTTTCACACTTACCACCGTTACATCTCCATGATCACGTGGTTGAAATTCAGACACTTGGCAAATGACTCATATTTATGACGGTGGTAGTGTCCCAGGGTCATGTGATCACTTTTTGCAAACTTCAGGCAAAGTAATGGGGGAGACAAATTCGTTTAATAACTGTATTACTTACTTAACAATTGTGGCAAGAAAAATGTCATAAAATGTGGCAAAATTCACTTAACAAATGTTTCACTTAGCAAGGGAAATTTTGGACTCAATTGTGGTCATAAGTTGAGGACTAACTTGTAATTCATTACAAGCTTTCTACAGGTCTAATATAAGGTCATTAAAGAAACATACTGTCTTATGCCTTAGACTAAATAAATATGCATAGAATTGCTTTTTTTTTAAAAAAAAGTTATTTTGAAGGTTATAGAATTTAGCTGAATGCGCTGATAGAATAACAAACATTTCTATATGTATTTCTTATATTATATTCAGATTTTATATCATAAAATAGCAAATGACAACATAGGAAGATGGATTATTTTAAGTTAGCCTATTGAGGATAAAATTAGTATCCTAATGTAGATAATCCATATGGAATGGGAAGGCTAAGAAATCTCTTTCTGAAGTACTGCTGAACTGAAAATTGCTGGTGCCATTTCAGCTATTTTAACATTTATATAATGCTAAAACTGTCCTGCAAGCTTCACTCACACTGAAGGTTGGGTAGCATTGTTTTGGTTCATTAATGAACCACTGGATATTAATCTGGCAAAGCCATTCATGTTAGTCATGCTTACATTCCACTGACAGTAATGAAGTTTAGATTATGCCTAACTTTGCTTCACTGGGGTCAGCCAACAGTTCTTGGCTTACGTCCTATTCCAATTATTTTGAATGAAGTTTCATTGAACTCCAATGGAGTTCACTTCTGAGGAAACTTGCATAGTATTACACTGTTAAGTGTGCTTTGATTTGGGAGCATTTTATAAAATCAATACGCCTACGGTCCTGATATTAAAGTATACTTCATGAGAAACTAAGAATTTTCTAATGCTTCTAACAAGACTTTAAAAACTGGATGTAAATGCATGTACCTGTACCTTAAGCTTTTAAAGCTATTTTAATGTACTGTTTTGAATTTTCAAAATAAAATTCATTCCAAGCTTTAAAATAATATTTGGGGGAGGGAGAGGAAGAGGGAGGGAGAGCAATAGGGCATAAGAATTCAGTCATCTTTTACAGAACTATTTTATTGTTGGTCATTCTTTGGAACAAAACAATTTAAGTATTTTGATCAGGAAACCACAATCTGTCAGAACTTTTCAGAACATATAGGTCTTTTCTCAAAAATTAAAAATTCATGTTACATGGCTAGAAAAGTGTCAAAAAATGTTAAATCCTAAACCTAACTTCTTTGGACAGTCACAATTGACAGTTACACATCTGGCCATAGTTCCAGTGAAGGCAAATGCATGAGAATTCAACAGAAGAGAATAGATATACAGTAGTTCAAGGTAGAACTGCTGAATCCTTGGAGCTTTCTGAGCTTGGTTGTTTACCAAACTAATTGTTTGCAGGGAAGCAAACAACTAAGCTCCAAAAACAAGAACTCCACAAATGAGCTTCTGTCCTTGGGGAAAGCATCGTTTGTCTCCCTCTAGCCTTTTTTTAGTAGCTACACATATCCATCATGCCTTCTGTAGAGTTCACAAAGGGATATGGCAGGGACACACCCACAAACTCTAAATCTCAACACCTTGCTCCTCTATAAGATCTTATGTATTTCAAGGCGGTTAAAAATTTCCTCACAACAACCTTCATCAACGTGGAAAGGACTTTTAGAAAGGTATTCTCTCTTAGGAATTGTGTGAGGGTAGGTCTCTGTCACCATATGCTGTTCATTTTTCTATATACATTCCTGATGTCTTGCAAGAGGGTTTATAAAGATTTAAATTTTTATTAACTAATAGAAGTTTATGAGTTTTACACAAATCCCTAAAGGGAAATACTTTAAATATTCCTATTGGGTTTCAGCCTAATTTTTAAAGTGAATTGATAATTACAATTCCACGTCTCTTAAAGAATGTTTCCTCCATACCCAAAATCCTATTATATTTTTCTTATCTTCCCCCTATTTTGTCCACATTCCTGTGGTAGGCTTTTAATACTGCTTTCTGCTCAAGGAAAAGACAGTTGCACGCTTTGTCAAACATGTATTGAAACCAAGTGCATTAGAGAGTCCTTATCTTGACTCACATGGCATTTGGTGCATCAAAACTGGTGCTCGATATCTGAACATTTAGAAATCTGTTAACTGATAATGCAATGCAATGCTGTAATCTAAGGGATTGCTACTGTAATCTCTGACTAATCCTACTTTGACCCTTATCTCCTTCTGTACCGATTGTAGTAACATGCAAATCCTTCACTTCAAAGGTTATAACTAGCCCCTAGTAATCTGTGGTTGGTAATCTTTTCATTCATTGGGAATTTCTTTCAACAGTCAACTATTCAATCTATGAACTAGCACAGATGGGTTTCTGAGGCAAACTGTCTTTAATCCTTTCCCTTTCCTAGAGTTATATCTACCCTGTTTCCCTGAAAATAAGACCTCCCCGGATAATAACCCCAATCGGGCTTTTGAGCACATGCACTAAAATAAGCCCTCCCCCGAAAATATTGCAACACAGCAGCAACCATGAGGTGACCATGCTCGCTGCCTTCTGAACCTCAAAAATAATAAGACCTCCCCAAAAATAAGGCCAAGTGCTTATTTCAGGGGTCAAAATAAAATAAGACCCTGACTTATTTTCGAGGAAACACAGTAACAAATATTTTGTTAGATATTGAACAAAAGGTTGGCTTTCAGCTTCAAAAAGTGTGAATCAGTGGATTTAATTCTTTTCAATAATTCAACCGCTTATCCAGATTTAACTGCCATGATAATCGTTTGTCCATGAGTGCAGAAGATACAGTTGACAAACTGGGCAAGTGATATTGTACACTTTTACAAAATTAACATTATATCTATCAGTTCAGCATCTGTTACTATACTCGGATAAGAAAAACAGGCAGCTTGTTGTACATTACTTCCCCAATACAGAGTTCTTGTGACTAACAATATTTTTATTAATCAGAATATCTCCTGCCACAGGATATCCTGGTTTTATGGATATCTTAAATATATTAAATATTAAAAAAGAAGAAAATACAATCTACTAGCTGCCTCAGTTCAACTTTAAAATACCAAATTGCATCAAAAATCCTTTATTCTCTTCCTTAACTGCAAAAACTCAGAGATCATTTGTCATATACTTACAATGCATAAATAAATATAGGAAACGGACCTAAAACATTTATCGTTTAGCATGAAAATACACTGCTACATTATTACATTCACATTAGGC